TGTTTAGGTCTGATGCTAAATTTCACTCCAGATTCCCAAATCAGTTCAGGGATTTTCTGATTTATTAGCTAGAGCACAGATGCTACAATAAGACTTTAAACATAAAAAAAAAAAAAAATCTTTTTCAGACTTTGAATGAAGCAATTACCTCTAATAGCTTAAGATGTATATATATGAAAAACTATTGAGATTGCACATGTTGTGGACTTCCAAGCACACATACACAAAATTGGAACAGTCTATTGCTATAAGTTAGAGGTTTACCTGATAAAAGCATGTAAACAGCAATAGAGACAAAAAGGGATAATATTCTGATGATTCCAAACATAATGGAATTGAGCTTTTTCAAGTGAATGTATTAATAAGCAAAACTAAGCTGAGACACTTGAGTTAAAAGCCTCAGGCTGCCACTCATAATGAAGAAGCTAAAATTGAATGGGAGAAGTTTTAYTATAACAAAGCAAAAAGCAAATATCTTCTCTTTTACAAAAGGCCTTACAAAATAACAATATAAAACTTCCCTTGTACCAATCTGTTGAGCAGCTCAAGGTCACATACAATATGGAAGAGATATGCTTTGTTAGATGAAGTRGTAAAAGTTTCTGTATAATAATCATACCTGATGGAAATATTGATGATGCTTAAACTGCAAGTCTGAAAAGCCCTGTGATCTTAAACCTGTCTGCCAGCTAGAGAAAGGAAAGACTCCTTTACGAATGATCACACACTTAGCCTCCACAGTTTTATTTAGTAAAAGACAGAGAATATATGAATCTAGATTTTTTTTTTTTTTTTTTTTTTTGTACTACACAGAGACATGGAAGTATTTCCAGGCTCCTTTCATTTGCACAGGGATGTGTTGCATTAGAAGGGCAGTTTTCAGCTTTCTTTGATTAACTGTATTAGGATTATTGTACCTAGTAAAAGCATGGATATCTGACTACCAAATTTAAACCCAGGGACAAGTGTAGTTGATTGTCTTAACTATATTCTTGCAGCACCTTAGCAGCAGTTAAGGCCCAGTAGCACTACAGAGGAGAACAGAAAGCACTAAAACATAATTTCCAATTCTTTTTCCACATCTAGACAAGCTGCTTAGAAGTTTGAAGAACTTATTTTTTTTAAACTAATTTTACCACAAAAATAGACCTTTACACATAAGTTTCCAGATCTTCATTTAGCTTCTGTTCCGTTAGCCCTTACTGTTGGAAATAGGTGTTGAACATCACCTGCCTTTCCCTGGTAGATTGAATGCCTACATCTTTTAGTCTCAGAGTTGAGTGAAAAGAGACAAAGASCCTGACTGGATTAGGCTTGCTCTGACTTGATACACCGAACAAGTTGAATTTTTTATTTGACACTTCTCATGGTCTGAAGAAAAGCAACCCTGAATCATTCTGTATTAAAGACATCATGGATGACATTTAACTGAGAAGTTGTCCTAGGATATCCTCTTCACTACAAACTATCAGTATGARTGATTCTTACTCAAACTGCCCATTCCTTCTTTCCAATTTTTTAATGTACCGTCTAATGGGACCTGTCAGGTACACTGATCTGACAACTAGTAGGTTTTACTTGTTGAATAAACATGGTGATATAAACTGGTTGTCTCCACAGTTTAGTATCAATCTACTATGAGTTCAGTTTCCAAGAGCATTCCTGTTAAAAAGTCATTTTTCTGTAGCATATCTATACATAAAAATTGTATCAAAAGGTATTCATGGCTTTTAATGAGTATAATTACTTAGTAMCATTCTTCTAGCGCAATTTGCACAAGTTTAAGCCTGTAAAARAATGCTGTACCTTGTTAAGTCATTTATTTCTGCAGGATACTGGGAGTTGAATTACATGGCATATTTAGGAGTGAAAATACTATGTTATTGAAACGCATTTTTCTGCTCTTAAATTTGAAATATTAATACTTGCATCTAAGTTCATTTATTGAAACTTTAAAAGTATATGCACTTTACATCTCTAACGTCTGACTCTTGCATATGTTGTTCACATTACACACAAAAACTATTCAGACTGTATACATGCATATCTAGACAGTAGTGTGCAGTCTTGGGGTCTCTTATCCTTCCCCTCTTATTTTCCTTGATATTCATTATTTTTCAGAGTAATATCTAGATTATGAAAGGGACGCATAGCATAAGGCAATAACTACCTTCCRAAGTCCCTCTAAGCCAAATACAGAATAAAAATTCTTGGTAATTCTTGAATACAGACCTTCTACCTCTTGGAAAAAAAAAATATGATAGCCTGTCAGACAACTCTTTCATCCCAATAAATGAAGTGTCCCACTCATATGAACATGCAAAGCAGTCATTTGCATAGCATTCTCCTCCAAGTAACCAGGATTTCATACCCGGAAAGATAATTTAATCAAACAACAAAACACACCACAATCCTCACCCATGTCAACAAGTGTTCTCATAATCACATGATTCCACAGTGTAGAATTCTCAAAAGTCCATGGACAACATCATGATGTAAACTTAGACTACTACTCCTAGGAGAATTTTATTTATTTTTGCAACAATAGTTCCTATTTATCTTTTGTGTTCATATTAACTATTGGAATTCTCATATTATTGGTATTTCTGGAATTTTTTTCACAGGGTACATCAGATAGTACTTTCAGGAAAGATATAGAAATAGAGTGCTTGGTGCTTCTGGAGAGTATATCTATTATATTTGCAAGATACTTTACTTTTGCTGCACTTTTATGAGAGTTTTCTTATATACACATCTTTATTTATGACTTTACTCCCTTWCAGCATGTGGAAACATTCAAACAGTGAGAAAAGGCAATAAAAGGCCAGAGATAATGTGGTGTGGGATTATAATGCTTGACAATGTTCTAGCAGTGAACAGGGAAAAAATCTAACATCCTTCAAGAGACTTACAAAGGGACATTTCTTATCTATGCAAATTAGGATCATGTAAGGAATGATCAAACTAGCTTTCCTACCGAGCACCAATTTGTTAAATAGAACAGATTGAAAATAACAGGGCATTTCACACAGGCATAGGGAATGCAGGCCTATTCCAACCTAAATGGGATCACAAACAGTAGTTTGAAAATAGAATGTTATACATTTTGTTACCCTGGCGTATATACCCATAAGCAAGTTACTTGGTGTGTTAACTCGGTGTAAAAACTATTTGCCTGCTTAGTATTGAGTATTTTATGTTGCTAGAGGAAAGAGCTTTATTTCCAAGTGCTGGAGAAGTTGTCATATAACTTGGAAAGCCTGCAGCACTTTGCAGTGGTGCCAGTTCAGTAGGAAAAGAATAATTYGTAACATGTGTTATTTACAAAAATAATTCCAACTGTCTGGATTTTTTTCTGAACCAGGTTTAGGGCCTCAGGAAAAAAGTTTAAAAAAATTCAAGTTACACAAATAAAATTCATCAGATAATTATTCTATAAAAAGAGAAGCTATTCCATTTCCAGGAAGAAGAGCTAGCTGCCTTGTGAAGACTAGAAGAGCTCTATTCTGCCTTGTGCAAGATATTCTTTAAGAGCATACTCCAACTTTTGAGCTGTTTCACATGATATACTTCAACTATCAGGCAAAGACTCAAACACATCTCAGGTGATTGCCATAACATTGAGCTTTAGCCAGTCATTCTTTGCCTTTATTTTTCTGCTTCAAGAAAGTAAATTGCATTCACATTGTTGAACAAAAGAGTCTTCTGAAACCACCCCAAGGTATTCACGAGTTCCTGTGAAATTCTCCTCTCTTCAAAACAAGCCACCCATGCATTGAGTCCTGTTGCAGCTACAAGTTGTTCCAAAGAGTGTTAGACATATAAAACTAAAATCTTTCACAGGGCTAGTGAAATTCTAACCTGTAAGATGCACAAGAAAGAAGCTGAGGGCAGCCTTCTTCTCTTATGGGCCTGTGAAACAATGGAGACTGGTCTGAAAGTCTTGCTAAGGAGCATGTAGAACATTTGAAAAATCTCTCCTGTCCAAGTAAATGATTGTTCCAAGCTTTTATTCCAACTTCACTTCACAAGAGATTAAAGTATCTGAGTGTTAAAAGACTGAAAACACGAGTCTAGCTAACCGGAACTAACTAGGCTAATTAAGCCTACTCAAAGCATCAGGTGCAACATCTTCAGTTCTGGGAGCCTAGACACCTGAAAGAAGACTGTGCAAAAGGGAAGCCAAGGACAAAAGGGCCCTTGGGAGAGAGTAACCTCTTTTCTTTGGCTCCTCCACTATTGACCAGGAACTTATCAGCTCTGAAGGGAGAAGAGATCCTGCAGCAGCTGCAGATTTTTGCCAGTTTTCCAGAAGCTCCTGCCATCCAGTCTCTGACAGAAAGGTATCTAGATAGGTGCAGGATTGCTATTACCTGTTATTACATCTTACCCTGAGCTGCTACTACTTCTACAGCACAAATCTCCCAAAGCAAACTCTGCTTCCTACCATTACAACTGCCACCATGACTCCTTCTTTGACTATCTCTTGTCTTCTGGTTTTAATTTCTCCACAAGACCATTATTCTCCACTATATGCTTGAAAACAGTCTGTACTTGAAATTATAGGAATGCATCGTGACTTTCTCATCTTAGAAGCTTCTTTGGCAGATCCCTATTCTCATACCAAATGATCACGTAGAGAGGAGATGAAGTTTCAGGCCTTCTAAAAAAATATCGGGGGGAAAGGAACAACCTTGCTATCTCTACACAACACAGACATTTGTTGAGGTAAATGAAATTGAGGTAATTCCATTTCCTCTTTATAGTTTAAGTTTTGTAGGCATCTAGTATTCAAAATCTTCATCAAGTGCTCAAGTCCCTTCAAATGCCATTTGAAATGGAAGTTCTTGATGAACAGCTTTGAAAGCCATTAACAGAGATAAAACTTTATTATCTCACATCTAAAGTTAGTTAGGAAAGTATCAAACTGAGAAGGAGACCAAAGTTAATGAGCTGTTTTGGGCATGATGGCTTTCTTTGAGAGAAGCTATTTCTACATAGCAATAGCATCAGAACAAAACAATAATGGAATCAGCAAGAAGTTCCATAATTAATAAGAGGCAACAGCACCATGTTGCTTAATGTAACATAACAATTTGAACTGTAGACGGTGTCAGCATGGGTCTTCATTTATAAACACCCATTTAGTGTCCCTGGAAAATTAAGCATTAGTCTTATCAGAAGCTGAAACTGCACACACACTGCCTAAACATGAATTTACTTCATGGCCAGAGTTAGGAAAATATTCTTGCAGCCTTCCTGGCTTCATTCAGCCATTGTAATTACTTTAAGATTCAGTCTATTGGTGTACCTATTCATTACACCAGTTTGAAGTAAGATGCATAGAGCACCTGGAAAAATATTAAACACAAAATTAAGGCTTAAAGGCAAGCAAAATGTTAGAGTGTCTTGAAGTTATAGTCAGTTTATTTTTTAGCAAGTAGGAGGGCAATCAAGCTCAGTTGAG